ATATTCAATATTCTCATGCTGGCATTTATATCGGTGTACCATCATATGGATATATACTACTCGTGACCATTGTATGACACCAGTGGCCCGAAGGTGGCACGTTGCTATTTCGTAGTAATCGTGGGGATCGAAAGTGTATTATAAGGCTACATTAATGTTGCGATCACCGCTAGTGCGCCCAACCTGGAGGAGGCTCGCACAAATCCACAAAGGCATGGTTGAAATGGAAAGTACGATACAGTCATTGTGCAGTTCGGGAAATGGTTAACTTCCTCTAAAAACCCCCACATCCGCAAGGCTCAGCCACAAAACATTCCGATGAAAAATCTGCAGATCCCACGGACCTTGGGAATCGATATTACGCGAAGCATGCGAGTGGAAGGTGACTGTGGTGTAATTTTTTTATCGAACGAAGAGTAACGAAGTGGTGCTAAAAATATGTACGAATACATGCTGAGACGTATGTTGGGGGTTTCAAGAAATGTGTCCAATATTCTTTAAAAAATACAGAAAGGAGGTGTCTGCGTGCTACTTGCGGCGTTGCCTTCCTGTGGCAGAAGGCATCTTCAGATCAGTACAGACAATAATGACGGCTGTAGGGATAGAAGTTAACACAATGAACTTTTACCCAGTGGTAATAGCCGTTCGAGTCAAATTGGCGAATTCAAGCCCTTCCTGTGAATAGTGCATAGCCACTTCTAAATCTTGGGAAAGCGGCCACTGGTAATCACCGCGGATCGATGCAATCTGGCCAGTTTAGCGGAATAAACCGAAACCGACGCACCGCATCTACCATTCACCTCAACAACACCCTCAATGACGACACTGTTTCCCTCGCCTTGGGGGAGAAGAATAAGCGAACGTTGATAAGTGGCCTCGAAGCGAAGTGTCTGAAATGACGGTTGATAACGGCGCGAGAAACAGTGTTGTCACTAAGGGCGTTGTTGATTGATTGATTGATTTGGGGGGTTTAACGTCCCAAAACCACCATTTGATTATGAGAGACGCCGTAGTGGAGGGCTCCGGAAATTTTGGCCATCTGGGGTTCTTTAACGTGCACCCAAATCTGAGTACACGGGCCTGCAACATTTCCGCCACTAAGGGCGTTGTCGAAGTGAATGGTAGATGCGCGGTTTGTTGTGTCGGTTTCGGTTTATTCCGCTGAACTGGCCAGATTGAATCCACCGCGGTGATTACCAGTGGCCGCTTTTCCAAAATTTAGAAGTGATTGATTGATATGTGGGGTTTAACGTCCCAAAACCACTATATGATTATGAGAGACGCCGTAGTGGAGGGCTCCGGAAATTTAGACCACCTGGGGTTCTTTAACGTGCACCCAAATCTGAGCACACGGGCCTACAACATTTCCGCCTCCATCGGAAATGCAGCCGCCGCAGCCGGGATTCGAACCCGCGCCGTGCGGGTCAGCAGCCGAGTACCTTAGCCACTAGACCACCGCGGCGGGGCAAATTTAGAAGTGGCTTTCATAGGAAGGGCTTGAATCCGCCCGTTTGACTCAACCGGCTATCACCGCTGGTTAAAAAGTTAATTGTGTTATTTCTATATTTACTACCGTAATTACAGTCTGTACGCATCTGAAGATGCCTTCTGCCACTGGAAAGGCAACGCCACAGATGGCACGCAGATACCTGCTTTATGTGATTTTTAAAGAATATTGGACACATTTGTTTAAACACCCTTTATAACGAGTTGTTTACACTTGCGCAACGATGCTAACAACAGAACGAATATAAACAGCGCCAGAAGCGGTAAGCTGATATGAAGCGCTGGTGATCGAGAGGATGGCAGCCCTGGACACTCCAACAGAAAATGAACTTTTCATTGGATGGTGCTTAACAAAATGGACGTTAATCCGACGTGATGGCTGTATCATATATGTAATGTTTATTATATTGGATATGATAGATTGATTGATATGTGGTGTTTAACTTCCCGAAACCACCATATGATTATAAGAGACACCGTAGGGGAGGGCTCCGGAAATTTCGACCACCTGCAGGGGTTCTTTAACGTGCACCCAAATCTGAGCACACGGACCTACAGCATTTTAGTCTCCATCAAAAATGCAGCCGCTGCAGCAGGGATTCGATCCCGCGACTTGTGGGTCAGCAGCCGAGTACCTTAGCCACTAGACCACCGCGGTGGTGCACGTTTCACGAACATTAGGGTATATTTGAAAAGTAGTTCTGAGACCTGGGGCGGCTCTGTGGTAGAATACTTGATTGCCACGCAGAGTGCTGTAGTTCGATTCCTGCACTTTGACATTTATTCTTCACATTCGTCGCCCCGCCGCGTTGGTCTAATGAAGCACTCTTTGAATAACCATTAAGTTATTTCACTGGAAAAGCGTATTACCTCACAAATTGAAGGCAGCAAAAAAATTTAAAGAATCCGTCCAGTACGAGCGGAGTTACAAAGATTTGTCACACGTTGCAAACACATTCTCTCCTCTCCTCCCGACGAAAGTGCTGGAAGCTGAGCAGGGGGGGGGGGGGGATGGGAGTGGCAAACAAAACACGTCACTCGCGTTTCGTGACCTTGAGCGTTTTTTTCTTTGAATACGCGGCTTTTTCAGTGCGATCACGCGCACGCTTGGACAAGTGACGGCGTCTCACGGCGACCTCTGTAACAACCGAGCGCGCCATGTTCAAATCAGCCAATGGCTCATAGATGTGCTTACTGGGCTTATTTTCCGTGATTTGTTGATACAAGAAAAATCAATTTTTAGCTGACTTTCATAATTTATTGTCAATTCCAGACCACGTGTTGCGCTACAATATTTGCCTTGCGTGTTGTCGGGAGCCTCAACTACCGATCGGCAGCGTTTTCTGATCATGCTCAAATAGTGTTGCAGGGCCCTTTTAAGACACCACACCGGCCCAGCCTCGTAAGGTTAACCCGGGCTGCTGGGTTTCAGTCTGTCTTAAGTGCAGACGTTTTCTCGATCTAGAACACATGCTGTGTCACTGCTAGGTGTTGGCCGTTCCTAATGTGAACAGTGGTGGCACCACTGCGCTCAGGGTTGTGCAGGGGACCCGTGTTTCTTCTCTCTGTCCTGACGTGGGGGCTGCCCGCACCAGATTGATTTCTGGGTACTTAGAGTTCTTCATACCATACCGCACTTACTCTGAGCTTCAACAGTGTCGCTTTTAAAAGAATGGGTCATTCAACCAGTCAGCAAATATTTCCTATGCTATATCAAAGAAATCAAGGCTTTATCATTTCAAGCGATCAATTGTGCAATTATGCTGTGCCTCCTTTTACACACTTGCCCGCAGAACTGACATGTTTTGCTTAAAAATACGTTCGTGAAAAAAATATGGCAGATATGAAATTGTAGGTGGCCTTTGTGACGTTGAGGACCTTTCTAAGCGGCAACTGCCTCTCGAAAACGGATTCCTAGTGTAAGGCTGTGGCGTTACAAGCTCTGCCTTCCAAGTATTTCACTGCGACAGCAGGCAAGTGCTCGAAACTCTCCTTGGCTTGACGATAGTTATAGCGCGAGAACAGAACGACGACGCAGAGACAAGAAGGACACGAAGTGTGCGTCGTAGTTCTGTTCTCGCGCTATAACTATCGTCATGTCATACCAACTAGCCTAAGCTGCCACTCTCCTTCGCTCGTCCGTCCATGCCCTTACGCCGGCGTAGATCGTTGTCGTCATCGACGTTATTCTGTCGTGGTTAGGGAACCTCATCCTTCCCAGTTTCGTAATATATCACAAATCAGAAGACTATTTTGTCAGTACAGGTCATCCCTGGGGTTCAAACCCCTGCCAATGCAGCAATTTGTATTTCAGTGTAAGGCACGTCACACACAGCTATCGCACAGCTTATTTCTTGTAAAATGTATGTAACCAGCATTAGCAAAAATATGATGCCACAAAGATGTCGCTACATATTCACTAAGATAGGACTGATGTGGTTACCATAGCTCGCGGATTTATTAAAGTCAAACACAATTTAAAAATTTAGAATCTGTCGAGTGTGAGTGGAGTTACAAAGGTTTGTCGCATGCTGAAGTTGCATTATCTCTTCTCTCGTCCCGACGAAAGCGCTGGAAGCTAAGCAGGTAGGGGTGGCAGGGCAAAGAAACTACCGCGTCTCGTGACCTTGAGCACTTCTTTTTTGAATGCGCGGCTTTTTCAGTGTGATCGCGTGCGCACGCGTGGACAAGTGGCGGCCTCCCCCGGCTATCTCGGTAACTTGATTTTTCGGCGACAAACGCACACACGATTTTTCGCTCACAACCAACGGGGCCGACGCCGGCGGCTGGTTTTCTGCGACACGAGCTCTTTAACGCTACCGCGTTAAAATTATCAGGTATTGACGCTCAGACTCTTGCAGGTCTGGTCATACAGCAGTCCCGCACTCATGCACAAAATTTATCCAGAAATTCAGACGTCAAGCACATGCGCCCTTTGCTCAGACTTTGCCAGCTTAGATCGTATGCTCTGGCGGTGCCCTCGGTTATACGGCTTGAAGACTTACATAGCCTAAATGGGATGCTGCGCTATGCAGTACGGATTTAAGTACGCAGCTATGGGCAGTCCAACGGGCCCATGACGTGGCGGAGAGGTTTGGCCTATCCGTCCCGACGTGGGAGCGGCCCACTACGTGCTAGTTCACGCCCCTTCGGGTCTAAATAAAGTTTTTCTATACCATATATAACTTCAATTCTAGGCGACGTGTAAAACTAAGATTGATTTCGTGGCACGCCATAGCTGTGGACTCGAGATGAGGTACATGATCACTCCTGCACTCCACCCCTATCGAAATACGGTCGCCGCTGTCTGGAATGACGCGCGACCAGCAGCACAGAACTATATATTTATACACTTCAAGCTGCGAGAAGCGCAGCTTGAAGGCCACAAACGTTTCTCTTTTTTTTTTGTTTTCTATTGCAGTTTTTATTTCGTGTGAAGGTGTGCACATATTTCTGACATATATGTCACTGTTTTTTTGTTTCTTTTTATGCAGGTATGGGGGCCTTGATTTCAACGGCGCAAGGAGAAAAAACGTGACTAGAGATTCGACATCCACACTGAAGGCTTGGCTAAACGAACACCGAAAGAATCCTTACCCCACAAAAGGGGAAAAAATAATGCTCGCCATCATTACGAAGATGACTCTAACACAGGTACGTAAAGAGCAAAACAATTATGCCTGCTAACTCTTCATGCCTACGAAGACGTTTTGAAGAAGTGCTTTTTGCGCATGCAAACGTGATTATGCATATTTAGTTTTTTTTAGCTTCATGCAGAAGATTATGTTGCTGTACGTAAACTATGGAGGAGTGGACTAGCGCTATTTTCCCACTCTTAAAAACCTGTAGCTTCACGAATAATGTTGTGGAGTCATTTTCTCTCTCTTGGTCTTCCTTTCTGGCTGCCATTCTTTCCTATAGTTTAAAGTTACTGTCTGTGCATATTCTATATACAAGCCTAATTTATTTCATCTGTGCGTCAGATCCTGCGCAAAATGTTACATATCTGTATTCGTGCCATTTTCTTAAAATTATCATTCAAAAACATGACGTCGCCGTGGGTGGTGGCGAACTGCTCAACGGCTGCAAAGATGCGCTTCCGCTAACGTCATCCTTGTTCTTTCACTGCTTTTCGGGTGTCCGAGAAGTCTGCGACAAATGGTGTGAACATTTGCAGTGTCATAATCTTAATGAAAATCACAAAGATAGATTCTTTTGAACTCAGCCGGTGTATTACTAGCTTTAAAGTGAAGAAATTAGTCCGAGAAGCAGGAATCGGTTTTGTGTATTGCATTACTTGGCAGAAAACATAAAGTAACTTCACTAAAAAGTAGACCGGAACTGCACGTTATACAAAGTGCAATGACAAGGGCAATAATTGTGAAAAATGAACGAACTACGCTGGTACCGACTTTCGACTTGCGCAGATCAAAATGCCGGCCGATTTTTCTGCGCAATCAAAGTTTTCATGACACGTGCGCTATTACCTTGGCGTTTCTGTCGCGCGTAAAGCAGCGCAGACCGCATCTTTAATTGTGAGTATCTAGCTTTTATAGTGAAGAAGGTCGAAAGAGAAGGCAGAACAAGCAAAGCATAGTAGCGTTGGCGTTGTCGCATTTCTTTTATACTTTATTGTCTTTATGGCGCTATTTGGTTCAAGATAAACCAACTCACTGATGTCAAGTTCTTTTTCGTACAGTACATTGCCTCTCAGTATGGTTTCATTTCACAGCTCACAATCAGACGCTGGTGCTTACTTTGTTATTTATTGGGTACCGTGGAAAGCGCTTCGAATGTGCATCTTATATGTGGCTATTGTGTGACTCGGGTGGTAGCTGGCTCGCTGGATTCCGTGCCGACCGGTCGTGACCTCGCGATCTCCGACGTCAGCGCAGCTCTGGCCGACTGGGTTGGTCCTACGCCACCTCCTGCCACCGGTCCCCAACTACGACGACAGCGTAACTCTGGCCGACTAGATTTGCCCTACGCCATCTCCTGACGCCGACAAGAGCTCTCGTCGAGTGGCGCCCCGTCCTCGGACTCCTGTGACCGTGTCCATCTTTCCTATCTTCACATTACTTCCGTCGCTCGCTGTACCTGCACCTCGCTCTCTCCTTCCTCTCTCTTTCTCTATATCTTTTAATCCCATCCTTTTAATCCCTCCTCACCCCCATCCCTTGTGAGCTACTGTTGACGTGTTGCACCTGATGCAGACAGTTACGGGGCTCACTTTTCTTTTCCCTTTAAGAACCACATAAGGGTGGTAGTTCTGCTGTGGCTCGTTTTGCTGCTGTGGCCGATCTCAATTCAGTGTTGAACGCTGACGACGGGTGGTCTTCGTGTTCGGCAGGGATACACAACACTTACATCAGAAAGCTCTCAAGCTATATAAAAGCGGGATGGCTGGAAAAACGGCTGCCATTTTCTCGAAGGAAACAAACTAAAATGTAACGCTATTTGACCGCAGGTGTCCACGTGGTTCGCAAACGCGCGACGCCGGCTCAAGAAAGAGAACAAGATGACCTGGGAGCCGCGCAACAAAGCCGACGCCGACGACTCGGGCGCCGAGGACAAGAAGGATGACGAGGACACCATGGACGAGCGCACGGCCAGCGTTCAAGATCCCATGCGTCGCAGCGATTCAACCAGGTCCTACTGCAGTTTGTCCGCACTGCAGCGTTCACGGGGTGAGTCATGTGGTTCGCTGCACCCACGTCTGCATGCTTGCCGAAATCCTTTACCAAGTTTTAGTCTGTGTAGATTACGTATAAGCGATAGTTAAATCTCTCTCTCGAAATGGAATACGTCTGTCTTGTTTTTTCTCTTTAGCCCATGACGTTTGCGGTGCAAAGATAAAACAGAGAGCAACGTCGACCAAGTTGCTGAGATTTCTGTGGTACGACGAATACAATGCGCAGCCAAACTAGGAGTTTGTTTTCATTAGGGAACCCGCTCACTCAGAAGCTGAAGCAAATGGCCACATTGTGTCTGTTCGTAGTACGCTCGTAGCAGAACGATGACAGTGATTCGTACTTGTCAGCTTCACTGTAGATATTCCTCATCTAAACCTGCAGCACCAGAAAGGCGCATCCCATCACTGAATGAAAGTGACCGAGAGCAACAGAGAAAAAAATTACCAAGCATTTGCTGTGAACTATATATATAGAGTTTTCTGTTATACGGCTGTATTAGACGAACCGGCATGAAAATGGGCTGGCAGTTGTACACAGAAATGTTGCTAGCCTATAGGAATTTGTGAACCCAATATCAGTTATTGTAATTCGCAATTCAGTGCTCAGGGCAACTCTTCTGCTAAGTAAAATATATCTGCGAAACTTATATAGACGGGACAGCTGGAGAAACGACTTCCTTTTCCTCGAAGGAGAAAACTAAAATGAGATGAGACGTGCAGGCGTTTTTTGACGATTTATTAATTTTGTGTGTGTCTTTATCGGTTGGCTTTGGCTCGCACTGAACAGCTCCTTCGATGTCTGCAGCTCGGTGGAGCGGCCGGAACATAAAAAATAAAAAAAATCTTGCACAGAATACAACTCGCTCGCATCAGTTATCAGAAATCAAGCAAGCCTCTGTGGCCCTCGATCACGGTGTTATCTCCCTTATAAGTTTGATAGAAACATAATTTCATTATCAGCGAGCGCTCACTCCGCTTTAAACGAAATTGGGGCGTTTACCACCACCTGACTACCAACTTCATTAGAGAGCGCCTTCCCAAGCACTAGATCGTACATATAGTTCGACTGCCGATATACCATGGAAATAGCATTCAGGGCCTCGACCGTGATGACAGAAGCATTCTTGCCGGTTTCCAGCCGCTCATTCGCCGCAGCGATGTCCATTCGATCCGTGCTGTCAGCTGTCTTCTCGCTGCCACCTCATTAGCTCAGAAAGCCCGTAAGCTTTCGGTGCTTGCCACAAGGCATTACACGCAGACACAACGGCAAGGTGCCACGTTTCTTCCTCTTCTATCAATTTGTGACCTGTCTGTGTTCGTGAATAGAAATGATTCGAGACAGAAGGCGCGCAGAAGCTAATACAATCCTGTTCTTTTTCTCCTAATCTGCGCCAACACCTACATCCCGCTTCAGCGTGTGGGCCGCACTAGTGCATTCGCAAAGGCACCAGTGCGGTGCTGCTTGGAGAGCGGCCTTTATCGGGCGCCCGTGAAATTATTCAACCTACGCTGGAGAGGGGGCCCGCACGGCAGGCAGTGGCCACCGCTGAGGGATCATCCCTCCTGTGAAAAGGCGCCTTTATCACGCAGTGACCCGCGCGCATTTGCACGGCGATGGCAGCAGGCAGCGGGGCAGCCCTGGCGAGTGAGTCGCTCAGGGCTATATCTGTGCCCGTGTGCCAGGCATTTAATCGGCGCCGCATTTCGGGTGCTCTCTGTGCGCTTGCATTCCAAGGCGGCGGAAGCGTGCGCGGCCGCACCGTAGACCGATTGTGCGGGAGCATCGGCGCACAGTCGGTCCTAATCAGCCCATGTTGCAGTTTGTAGCGCGTCCGTCGCTGCCGGAGTTTGGTCGTCACGATACCCGCCGTGTTGCATCACGGGTGGGTTTGCGGGCCGCTGCGCCGAACGCCTGAGAGCCACTGGGTCCAATGAGATATCCCCACATTCGTATACAGACACTGATTGCGGCTGAAGGAAACCTGAGAAACGTTCGGACCGGCCACGAAGCTGCCAAACCGGTTCCGATTGTCCGTGCGAAATTATGCATATGCGAGCAACACGCTGCGCAGGCCGATAGACAAGCTTTTGTGTGTTTGGCGCGGCAGATTCATCCCCGAGCCTCGGGTTTCTTTTCTTCCTTCACCGTACCAGCACGCACCAAATCCGCGGCCGCGACGTTATCGCGATCCTCGGGGCGACGGGAGCCACGGCTGTGACAACAAATCACGGGTTCTGGGGAAACTGACTGGGGGAGAGAGGATGAAGGGAAGGGGGAGGGAGGACGCAAGTCTTGCGACCAGATCAGCAGTTACCTCCGCTACCAAAATGAACGCCCTTGGTGTGGCTGTCAAATTCGTTAGCCAAAAAGACAGCCAGAGAGCGAAATGGCCTAAATAAAAGAAGCAAGCCTCCCTCAGACGGACACGCTATCCTATCGGTACTAAAACACGCGAGGCAGCCGCAGTGGACACGACAAGAGCCGAACCGAAGCAAAAAGAAACAGCGTATAGCCGAGCATGTACAAGGGGTCGCAATGATGGAGGGACATGGGCTGCACGTCCGCGTGGGTCATACACCACGTGCATCCGTCCAGTGGAAGAGGAGAGGGCAGGACACCCGATCCGAGATGAGCGTCGCTTAGCTATTTCGACTTCTGGGGTCTTTGTCGCCGAGCCACGCAACAGGGCCTGCCAGGATTTGTCATCCGGAATGTTGTACGTCTTCGCGCACACGGAACAAGAAAACGCCCTAACAAAGGTGCCCAGTCCTTCGTGGCACGGCTCTCTGGGTTGCTTGGTATTTCCAGACAAATGCTCATCATGCCACGAGCTCTTTTTTCTCCGGGTGAAGAATCTGTTAAAGGGAATTCAAAAGGGTTAATCCTGTATCGTTTTTTTCTATAGAATAGATATTTTCTAAAAGCATTGAACACGATAGAAGACAAATTAATCACTCGTTTGGGTGGAAATCTGCAAGGTGCAGGAAGTTTCATGCAAAAAAAAATGTTTTGATTCATCGGGATAATAATCGCTGTCATCCACGTAGAATGGACATATCGAATCACTGTAACACTGTAATCCAAGTTGCCCATGAATCCCTGCCCTTGATCGGCTGGCTTCTTGATTAGCCAATATATATCGACGGGGAAACCATAGGTGGTGGTCCCGGGTTCACTTGCAAACCCAGCATTAATTTTGCTTCAACGCCAAAGCCTTCTGTGAAACCCATTCGGGTAACGTTGCAGCTGTGTTACTCTCCAAGCAAATGTAACCGTTCTTTTCCTTTCATGCAGAGATAGCATTTTGAGGTTAGAGAAAACGTTGATTACGCCAACCCATAACGGAGTACTGCGCAGCCTCATAGGGAGGGTTCAGGTAGCGAACGAAGGGGGCGGAAAGGAGAGAACACATTCTAGAGACGCCTACAACACCAAGTGCCTGGTCGGGCGTCTACCTCTTTCCCACTAGAAAAACCGATGGGGTTCCGGTGGCACAATAAATCGAACCCAGTGACTGCCGCATTGGAGGAGGACACTCTAGCCTCTTTACCACCACTGTGGTCTTCCGCTGTGGTGGTCACCTTCTCCTCTATGAGATTCTTTCTCATAGAAGGAACACCAACAAGCTCTGTGCGTTCCTTAGAAAACTGCGTTCGGATGCTCTGTCGGTGGCGAAGATATTGCATAGTCTTCACTGGCTCATCCAACAGATATGACACAAAGGCAGTGAGTCAGACGTGGAGGCTGCTTCGCGACGACCGAACCGCCTGCACCAACGCAACAGCCAGGTGGTTTTGACGCGACACCCGTGCCCGCGTCTCGCGCTGGCAGGAGAGCCATCCAGGCAGCACGCGACGCACGTCCCCCCCTCCTTCCTTTCCCCCAGAGGGCTCGCTTAAGCGACGGAGCCATAAATAAGCGCCATCGGGAGCACAACAAACAGGCGTGGGCCGACGGAAAAGCGAACAGCGTGACGCAGGCACGCGCGCAACAAAACACACCTAGTAAACACATCATAATGTTCTCCTCGCGCGCGGGCCTCCCCCCGCTGAGCGCGTTCGCGAAGGGTTGCCGCTCGCCATCAAAACTAAATAAAGCGGCGATATTCTCGATGGAAGGAAGGTTCGCTTCCCGCTATCGCGACGCCATCTCAACGGTACTCGGCGTTTCGAGCGCGGGAGCCCGCGCGTCGAGCAGTCGTCTCTCCCGGGAAGCGAACTGCTGCGGGCACGCGCAAACAAAGCGCTCCCCGGGAGGCCCCCTAGCCGGCCCTCTTGGCTTCATCTATCAAACGAGCCGGCCAGCACCGAAATTGGGCCTCTCGAGATGGGCCATCCCCCCGCGCAAATTAAAGATGAACTCGGGAGCGAGCGAGCTTTTAACTCCGAGCCGGCCAGGAATTCGGAAGCCACCCCCCACCGCCCCGGAACGGACTCGAGCCTGACGCGAGACCTGTCGGCAGATGTTGCGAATGCGGTGGCCCGAAAAGAGGCACACAACACAATCGCGGATGCAGTGTGCGACCGACGTGGGGCGCAGGGATAATGCCGTATTTAGGCTCACGTTTTGTCAAGTGGGAGAGCGGAGTGGCTCTCGTTCGCCCGCTATTTCCCCCCACTGCTTCACCCGCGATCGAACGACTAGCGCAAACACGTAAACTCGCCAGCGCACAGGATATACACCGATGGTGTCGGATCGAGATTTATACGGCACTGATGGCCCCGCTGGGTACTTACTGGCTGCTGGGTCGGTCGACGAGGGTTTGAGCAAATGCAGTGGGCCCCAGAGGTCCCTTCGTGAAACGACACCACTATCCGTCGCTGTCGGTGACGCTGCCATTACCTGTTCCTCGATGTTGTTTTTCCGGCGAAAACATTGAGATTGCTGTATGTTCTCGCTATCTGAAACGGTGTATGTGTTGTAAGACGGAAGCTAACGAGACCGCACGAGGCTCGCAGGCCCGTTTATTCCAGAGGAACTGTACCAAAACTAATAGTGTTATCACCCCATAACGGTCATTTGTCAACATTGTACCCAAGTCGTACACACTTTCCAATGACAGTAAAGTCAACACATTGTAGGTTTTGTCTTAGATCCAGTCCCCAATCAGATGAGCAGCGCTGAACGAGCGAAGGCAGAAAGACGGTCGCCAGTCGCTTCGCGTACGTGACGTATGCTAAGAGGGATTTCCGGGTGTGTATTTGAGCATGCGTCTTGAAGGACGATATAGTGGCTCCTTTAAAGTGAATTACGCCAAAGATAAGTAGACTCTTCATCAGGGCCAGCATTTACGAAAATGTGTCACACTAGAATCGCTCGTAGGAGAATGTTTTAACCAATGGGGAAACAGTGCATATAATTCGAGAAGCATACTGGTCAATCACAGAGTGCAGTTACGAACGAGTAGCTTTCTCAATTCAGCCGGAGGTCCCTCATGATGTTCTAGACATAAGCCAGAAATCAGACCCTTTTTCATCCTGTTTTCTGGCCATATATCTAGCACTTTATTTGGGACCTCGTGTGGCCTTTGAAAGAATTCACTTCGTAAGCCAGCCGCGGCCGTGATATGCGTAATATACCTCAATTGTGCAACAAAAACGCGCCGTCGCACTAAAATTTCTTCTTAAAAGGAATACATAAATTGTGTGTTCTTTATTGCGTCATTGGCCGCGATGAGATGCAACATACTGCTCAACATAAGTTAGACATCCCTCTGCACATTTAAACACTAACGATAAGACATATAAAGAATAAAGTAAAGGTGAAACTTTATACAATCGTAAAAATAAATAATGAAAGAATTACTTTTTAGCATTTCTATCATTTACCATTTACTAAGCATATATGAGAAACTTCAAGGTATATGTATATATCGTACATATTGAGACCAACATATGATCTACGATCATCAAATGTCATACGTGAGGATTACCAACACAACACAAACCAATATTTTGCGTTCTCTAATGGACGGAAACTTAATGTGTAAGTTGTTACTGTCTAGTGACTGAAAATAAAAGGCGGCGAGGAGCCTTACAATTGTTCTTTTAAAAACGAGATGGAAATCAGGACAGTTGGAAGATGTTCGTTGTATATATACGCACCACATTTAACCGAAGAAGAGCTCGGTATAGCAGTCAGCTTACACCTTCTGTATGCTTGCTGTGTCATGCATTTGCTTTTATATCAGAGCTAGTTTTTCAACATGTAACTCTCACAGACGCTTCTTTGGTGTTCATGTACCACATTTCTGTTTCCTACTGAGTCATGCCGTTTAAGTGCTGAGGTAAAACTATATATAGTCGAAATTAGCACTGACTTACCAACAACTGCATTATGGGTTTGATGAGTACATTTGAAGAGTTCATTTGAAGAAATGTAACGTTGAGGACGCTTCAAGACACAAGAATAAATTTCAGCTAACTCTGCTGAGTTATCAGTAAACTAATAATTGCTTGGGTTTAACGTGCCACAACGATGATATGATTATGTGGCACGCCGTATGTGGAGAGCTCCAGATATTTCGACCACCTGGTTGCCTTTAACGCGCATCTTAATTTAAGTACATATACGTCAAGCATTTTGCCTGTATCGGAAAATTATCAGTAAACGTATTCACGACAATAACACCTCGTGGGCGGCTATAGTGTTCTGACTAGGGCTTCAGGTAAACGTCATTACTTTGTGTATTCTTCAAGGAAGCAAGTGCACATTGCACAATCCTGAAGCTCATATAAAAAAAAGAACAAGCTCTTACGCTCGGAAAGTCAGACGCAATGTCCTATAGCAAACGATGTCTTCGCCACCAATTATACAACATTTTGACCGTAGTTATAAATGGTATCGTAATTGTGATTAATCTCACTATCCCCCATAAAGCTATCAGCATGTGCTATTATCACTAATATTGGTAATGGCAATCTCAACAGTGCGCTTTCATGAGTTCTTAGTCCGAAATTTATAGTGGGGTACTTGGGGGGCTTTTCAGAAAGCACGTTACGACCACCCCAAACATCGGCAGAGGTGGACCACGAGGCGGCTGAGATGCAGACTTCTCACGCACACCGTACCAACGCCGGCTCAGACCTCCACCAGCAGCGGCACAACTACGGCCACTCGGCGAACCCGTACGCCCTCGGGGGTGCGTCTCGGTCTCCAATCCTCAACGGCATCATGTCCCTGGCACCGCCGAACTCGCTCACGGGATACACACCAGCAGCATCCTCAGACAGTCCGTCCCCGGACCTCCAAGGCCTCGAATCTCTCATGTCTAAGTCGTCCCCGAACACCGCGGACGACTCGTCGGGCGCCGACAGTGCGCACAACAAGCCCAAGATCTGGTCGCTGGCTGACACCGCAACAAGCAAGAGTCCTCCCCCACCGATGCCCTGCTCGGGCCAACCGCAGGGACCCCCAGTCAGCGGTGGACAGCCCAAGGATACCGCCGGAGTCGCTGCCAGCCACGGCTCAGTACTGGGCTGGTTTTCCGGTGGATACCACCATCGGGCCGGCGGTGGAAACGCGTCCTCTTCAACAGCGGCGGCGGCTGCGGCAGCCCATTTCGCCAGTTACGGCAGCAATGGCTTCAGTCCTGGAGGAGCCGCGCCACAGACGGACACGCCACCGCAGACGCCTCCGAACGCCAAGATGGGCACCACTGGATCCTCATCGCTTCCTTTCCACCTGGGTTCCGGTGGATACTTCCAGGGCCAGAGCTCCACCTCGCACCTCTACCTGGGCCAGGCGTCGGCCTCCGCACCACACTCGCACATGGGAGGTGAGTACGCGCTGGAGCGTAGATGAGTCCCTCTTGTGAACCCCTTTTCCAAATCAGGCGCAACTCTTGTCCCTCGATTATTTTAAATGTGCATGTAACATGTCGTGGAATAAGAAGGATAAACAGTAAAAGTGTCTCAGAAAGGCTTGCCGACATTTCAATAATAGGACCTATCTTTGTTAAGGGCGCGCCTTTGACGAAGATAGGTCCTATTATTGAAACGATGGCCAGCCTGTCTGAGGCAGTTTCATTGTTCATCCTGCTGTCCCTAGAGTTCCTTTATATGCTCCATACACAGTAACGCTAGCTTATCCCAGTACAGGTTTCCATCCGTCGGCTACCATCTTGATTTGTAACTCATGTTATTGTTCTCCACAGAGGTGTTAAAAGCGTGGAAGATTCTCCCGAAGAACTCAAGGGAAAATGTGTGCCGCTTTGCATGTAGCAAGATAAGAATGAAAACGAGTTTGACGGTCCGTTTAATCGTGAATGATTATATGAAAAAAAAATATATATATTGCATCTGTATATGCTCTATAAGCGGCACGGCACGTGTCACCGCTGCCACTGCTGTGTAGCTTTATTGTGCCGTCTTTAGTTATTGGCGGTTTTAATGAAAGCTAGCTCATCTGTCACTAGAATATTCAGACGCTTATGCATCATTAGTGGAGCCGTGAAGAGACAAATGAACAGCTATTGTCCTTCTCCCTCTAAAGTAAGCTTATTCGCACTTTGTTCGACTGTAGGCAACTTTCGCTAAGCCAATTCATCTGTTCAAGCGTTGCACGAGCAGAAAGCAGCGTAGGTATCGCCGAAACTTCTGAGCTATAGTGGACTCAGTGGCCATTCAGAAGAGGTTGGCGTATAGGTTGGTGGGCGTTATTAGCGTTCCGTATGTAACTGTATTCTGTTATTGCTTACGTGTTTTCATTTTATTTGCTCGACATTGGGGAAAATGGGTGATTCACTTGTAGCTGTTTCCACTATTTTTTTTATCAGAATCGACGGGTATCCGAAAACTCATGCACTTTTCCATGCAGTGGATGTTCTTGTTTTTCTTCTTGAATTGTATATTTACCCCTTCTCTTTCCCCGCATTTAGCAATGCAGACATATTTTTTCGCCAAGAAAAGATGTCTGCATTGGACTTTAAATAAACAAACCCTAAAAACTGTCTTCCTTTATTGAAGTGAAGATAAATATCATATTTAAATATAATTGCATTGACATCAACTACGTTATCCTTTCTGATCACGCAACAATTGGAACTCATAATGAAATGAGATAAAAATGAAACCTAATTGTGTTGAAGCATGTTATCTATTTTCATATTCAGGTAGGGATGTCTTTCTTGTCTTGTACAGTACTCCTGAGGTGGTGTCGTCACTTTCAGTATGTGAGCGATGTCATAAAGTCAAATGAAGACCGGAGAAAAAAGTTTGTGTTAAATTAAATACGCTCGCTCACATAGCATCTATCGGGGTTTGACAAATGAACCGACGGCAGTGGCACCGCCATCAGCAAAAGACAAAAGCCGACCAAGAGGTGGAATCTCTCTCCTTTTTTTTGAGGAAAACAAAAAAAATAAAGAGCAAGTGAAACTGCAGTGGTAACCACCTAAAGAGGGCAGTGAGCAGCTGCAAAAGCAGTTCCGTTTGATGCCGCAGTCGCTCGGCGTGGCGTGGTCCAGGGTTAGAAGGGAATGGAACGCGTGGCGTCCAACAGCCTCGGTCAAGCACCGAGAGCCACGAAAGCATCCCCGCCGAGAAAAGCGGCCGCGATCGCAGCACCGCTACCCCCCTCCCTCCCCCTTCTCACCCCGCGTACCAACCGCCAGAAGGGGAGAGCCCGCAACCGCAAAACCAGCCGCAGCAAATATTTTTTAATATAAACGGCATGGCGCGCAGCGCGAGTTCCGGAGGAGAGCGAGGAGGTCCCTGCTCAATTAATGCAGATTGAATTCCGGACGGCATAAAAATTATTCCAGGACAGACGGATTGGTTTGCAGCGACACCCACCTTTTCGTCTCTGGGGCTCTTCATTTCCATCGATTGTCAGGAAAAGGCCGGAAGAAATGGGGGTCCCGGCTGGGCCCGCCTCGCCTCATCAGGTTTCCCCGCGCGCTGGCGGCGCGCTTTTTGCCTTTAATCATGTCCCTAATTCGTCTCCACCTTTTCCGTGTTCCAGTTGACAAGTCGTCGTGCGCCGGAGGCCCCATCTACCGGGCCGCTGGGGGCTACGCGTCATCGGCACCCGCTGCCATCATGGCCGCCGCTGCCGGAAGTCCCTGCGCTGACGGAGCCTCTTCCTCTTCCCGCTCGTCGTCCTCGGAGGACGAGTTCGCGCCGCCGCAGCACTACGGCCCCGCAGCCGCGGTGCCCGGCGCCATGACCGACGGCCTGCCTTGAGCTGTGATCGCGTTCGCACGTGTGGACTCCGGGGGCTTCGGCCCGAAGATGTCGCCCCTTCCCTTCCCTCCCCGGAGGGACCTTGGCAGCGAGGACGAGCGCAGACCACCTCCCACTGTCGTACGCATCGCCATTCAGACCAGAGTGTCACCTCTGATACGGTGTACATGGCAACACTGCATCAGAATGCCGTCGGAACTGCTTTTGCCGGTGACATCTCGCTTTACTTTTAGCGGTTCGCGCGGTTATATGAATTCTCAGTTATCCCATTCTCCCACTCCGCGCTTTCCTGCCCCACTGAGACAGCATTTACACAGATCGTTCAGCGCCTCCTAGCTATGGACTGATGACTCAGGGTGGCCCGAAGGAAACATATCGTGGTTGACCTTTGCGGTAGTTTCACCGAGGTCCTTGCTGCACTCTCTCGTATTTCTGCTGGTCGAGAATGAAGAGCAATATCGATGGGGCGTGTTGAGCTTACATGAAAAACTGCGCGTGAGTGCGTGGCATTCAAGAAGGAAATATGTGCTGTCGCCGCTTATTTACGCCTGAGGCTCATGCTGGAATACGGTAGCGTTCGGGGCTCCTGCAGCGCTTTTTTAAGATATTGTATTGTGATTTCATCATTCTTACAGTGTAACGTAGAGGGCGCTCTCATGTTCATTAAAGTGAATGCCTGGGTGACGTGCTATATACCTGATATAACGCATGTATAATTTCAATTTACGTTAAGGAACAAATTTTTTTAGGAAAGAGAAAGCTGCCGAGTTTTCATTTTTATCCTTTTACGAGATTTCCTGAGAACCACGCATTTGATGAAGTGCTACGTCCGCTTCGTAACGGCGGGTACTGTTTGACTTTTTTTTTACTTTTGCAAATGTCGGCAATTTGTTTTTATCACACAGAAAGAGAACCATAGTTTTCTTTTTTATGTTTTTTTTGCAATACTCGTGTTGCAATAGCTGTGTCACTTTTTTGAATTTTTTGTTTAAGCTCCTACAATTGAATCGGTTGTTGGATGGAAGGCATGGTGAGTGACACGGAGAGGAAAAAACACTTAGTGAGGGCTGTAGCATTGCGGTAAGCAGAATTTGTTCTATCTTACGACTAGTTCAGTGTTCGGAGCACACGTTAATCGCATTTGCAAAAAATAATTCACGTGATTGCCACATGGTAAATCGGTCGTTTGTCTTTTGAATGGAGTGACTTATTTTCCATCAATTGCATGCTGAAAAAAAAAACGAAACAAGGCCGCACTGTAACTCGCTATAGATCGGCTCTACACATCGTGGGGGTGTTGACGTGTTGAAGGTCGTCAAGATGGCTTGGATAATAAACGCTGAAGAGTCGAAAAAATATATATGCCACATAAAATAAAGGGCTAAGGCAAATAGGTTATGCGTATTTATTTTAACATAAAAGGCAGACTGCGCATAAAATTTACGAAACTAGACATTAGTAATAAAAAGAACATTGAAAACGTTGGTATGAGCTTTTACATAATTAAATATCCATGTTCAGATAGTTTATATTTTTTTAACAGTTGAAAGCTAACGATATCTTTATTTCATGTCTGGTCAATAACATTGTCGCTTCCGTTATTAAACATAAAGAAGTACGGAACCGTAACAGTTGCCCAGTGGGGGCAAACTTCGCACAATGACAGTTTTAGTCCCCTATGCAGGCGGAGAAACGCCCGTGCAGGACTGCTCGGAGACATTTCCAGCAGTGACACAAGTTCTCGAACTAATTCACTTCATTTCCGGCGTATTTGACGAGCTCTGTTATACTTGTGGAATCTCAGCACTTTGACGTGGTCGAGCTGATCTGTAGTGGACTCGTGTTTCTGTGCTGGTGAATCTCTTCGAGACGCACATGAAACGCGAGGCCCGCACGGGCATACCTCACGTATAAGCGGTTAAGGCATCTAGTATTTTGCCTGTCTCTTTATGTTTTTATTTCCCTGTAGAAACAAGAGGGAAAAAAAAGGGAGAACACATGCTGAGCGAATGACTCTCTTTTATTTGTGTATATTAAATTCTTCGTGTTTAAGTGATACCTAAACTTTTACAGGTGCCAAATTTGTGCTTGTGAAGAGACATCGTTTCGAGAAAAAAAAACAAAAAAAACTTGCGCAAGCAATATTGCGGCTGAAAAAAAAAAGAAGAATAAGAGAGCAAGAATCAAGTTTATCAAACAGATCTTGTTGCAGTTTCTTAAATGGTCTGTCCTATCTGACAACCCCTCCCCCCCCCCCCCAAAAAAAAAGTAAAGCAATTACTGCGCAGGACCAGATTCATGCATCGGCGTTGCGCGTGCAAAACAGTTGTCTTATTTGTTTATTGATGGCGTAACTTCTATAAAATTCTTGCGGGTAAACGAAGAACAGCGATCTTAGTGGAGCTTCCTCTCTATATACATATCTCATTTTGATGACAGGGACAGAATGGTGATCTTTTTCCTTCATGCCTACGCATCGAATCTCTGCCATCAAGCGTAAATGAGCGTAGCAGATGGGGCAAAGTCTGTATACATTGTCATGTTTTAGCGTCCTCAAACAGGATGAACTGAGCCAACAGAAGTCAAACTGAACGCAGTGGATTACGTTCACAACTGTCTTGTTCACTTCCGTGCTCCCATCTGTGATGGAACTGGCGAATGCCACTGCACAGACGACGATGTGCTGAATAAATGCTCACACGGCTACGTCTTTCGTTGCAGAGTGTACATTGTCTGTCGACTGACTTCAATGGCTGTGTTGGTAGAACTCGTACAGTGTGCAATTACTCTTTTGTGTTACGTGATATGAAAGTGCGCCCCGACACTCGTGGGAAACCACAGCTGGGGATGTGCTGATATTCCTTGAACTCCGTGTCTGTTTGCTTTCATTTTTTTCATTTGTTTCGTTTGTTTTTCACGTGACCGATAACACGGAAAACGTGTGGAGAATAGATAGGATGAGACGAAAAACCAAGTGCTTCTCAGCGCAACAATTATCTTTTTTTTTCCTTCGTTTCTGCTCCAACTTTATCATCTCGAGCTCCGATCCATTCCGCCGTCATGCGATGACCTTGGTGGTGCAGGTGCAATGCCATCCAAACGTGTGACGAAGGGGGAACAGAACTGATCTGGAACACGAACTGAATAGAATCGTTGCGTTGTTCCGGCCCGTGCTAACGAGGAGCGCGTATTTAATCATTTTCGTTCTTCTCTAAGCACGATGTAAATACGTCTTGTAGCGAATCGCTAGGAGGAACTATAGCTGCGTTAAGGAGGGCTGTCCACCCTGCTTAGAAGGTCTGTACATTGTTTGAACTCCAGAATTGTGAGAGAAAGGAAATATTTAAGTGGAAGTCTTCCATTCCAAAAGGCGAGCAGGCGGCGGGCCGGAGCAATAGCGAAACCAGCAGCAGCAGCAGCGCGGACCATTGAAGAGCGCGGAAAATATGTGGCGCGCGCTGGTTTCTGCGGTCTACCTTGTATACGTTCCTCTCCTACGGTTGGCAGATGTTTACCGTGTCTGTATCAGTGTATTTGTACATAAGTGTGATCAAACGTGTGCACGGTTTGTGAAGAGTTTCGCGGCACCGTGCGACCCGCCAGCAGGGTCCCGCGATTGCCCGCCCCTCGATGACGGGCCACGCCGGCAATGCGCGATTCTGCCGGCGGGCTTGCGTTGCGGTGGTGGCCGCCTTCTTGTAGATATGTTGTTTCGTGCTATACGACGACGTGTGTAAATATGTGGCAGAAATGGAAATAAAACAAGACATGTGGAAAAAAACAAAGAAAAAAATTTGAACTGCCCCAACTGTGTGAATTATTTCTCTGCGCACTGCGACGTGATCACTCGTTTAGAGAGAGAGAGAGAGAGAGAGAGAAAAGAAGTGTATCGACAGCGACGATAGTTCTAAGTACCTTAAGAATACAAAATACTATAAAGGAAAGAAAATAAGAAACAAATGAAGAGTCACATTGATCACAGGAGCTTGTGGGACCACATCTTTCAAATAAGAAACCTATTGAGTTATAAATTCTTGTGCCTTCGAAAGCGCAGCATAGGCACGAGACAGTGGTTTAGTGAATAATAAAGTGATACTTCCGAAAGTTGGAGGCACAAAGGAACAGGTACAGTCCTGTCCTTTTCTTGTCCTCGCCTCTATGGGCCTCCAAATTTTGCCATACCATTCATTAACTAGCCCAAGCACACGTTCCAGTGCAACTGACCTGTGGCAACGTAACGCGGCTAAAGATGTAACTCGAGCATCCACCGTTTGATGCGTTAGGTCTCACATATCGCGCACATGTATCAGTAGATTTCCATGAGTACATGAGAAGCTAGTGAGCCCAAAAAGTGACTTCAAACTATGCATTCAAAAGCAATACTTTTGAGCGCTGCATCCCTTAGTGTTAAGGGTATAAGGTAAGTCAACTAAGGTTACCGCGTTTAGTATGTTGCTCATTACGTTGTGCACAACGAACGCAAATGCGGCAAAGAATAAGTGAACAAAGTATTTATAGAGAATGCGACTTCACAAATACGGCTTCGTCAGTTTTTTGTGCTGCAGGTTTGTATGATCATAAATATGACGACATAAAGATGTAAAACAAGCTTTTTTTTTGGCGTCGCTATATTTTATGACGTGCTTGCGACATTTCCCTTAAACATTTTCAGCACTCATATGCATGTCTGTCGAGTCGCAGAAGAAGAAGAAGAGCCGCAGCATTCTACATCGACATCCTTTTACACAAATTTAATCGGCAATGAAGATTTTACTGTCACCAAGTCAGGCTGTATCACTTAATCAGGAGATGAGCTATATACTGATCGACTTCTTATGTTAGAAATGCTGCTCTACGCACTCGACATTATTATGTGATCACACTGACCAGTACAAAGAAGAAGGTGCTCACCGCTTCCCTGGAAGCAAGGTCCACGAGAAGGCTCCTGGCGAATAAGTGTGTTCACGGGTTGCTTATATTAAAGAAAGCATTTGCAGCGTTGATGAATGCAACACTGCAACATAAAGCAAAAGAAACTTTTCACATTTCGTACGCAGCGGAAACGCGTCTGCAATAGAGGAGAGTTAAAGATTTACCCTAATTAAATATAATGAGCAGTTTATCTATAAATAGAATGAAAGATGTTCAAGCAAAAGTCTTCCTGAGGCGAGGATGTTTACAAAGAGTGTGGTCCGTCAAGCCAGGGGGCTGCAAAACTTTCAAAATGTGTGGAAGTGATCTCGTATAGGTGTGTCAGTGATGCGATGCAAGAGCATTCATTTGATGAGGATTCATTCTATATGCAGCTTAATCGTCAGATCTGCGGGTGTAGATACCTTCGACACTACAGCAAATTATAAATAAAAAGAAACGAAATAACTATTCAGAGAGCCCCGTTCTTACTGAGATAGTGGGACTGAAGTTAGCTCATTACCTTCGTGAAGTTGTATTCCAGATCGTTTGCACATCGCCTTCTGGCCCTTTAATACCAACTCATGACTTACATTTTGCAAGAGTTTCACCGATGTATAACTTTCTATAAGCTTCTAAAACAGCTGGAGGCGAAAGCTCAAACTATAGGCTTTTTTTTTATACGTAAGGCATGGTGTCGTCTTGTTAGGCTGTCGTCCACATTCCGCCATCATTGTCTTCGCGCTAGATAGTGTGACTGAAGTTAGCTCATTACCTTCGTGAAGTTGTATTCCAGATCGTTTGCACATCGCCTTCTGGCCCTTTAATACCAACTCATGACTTACATTTTGCAAGAGTTTCACCGATGTATAACTTTCTATAAGCTTCTAAAACAGCTGGAGGCGAAAGCTCAAACTATAGGCTTTTTTTTATACGTAAGGCATGGTGTCGTCTTGTTAGGCTGTCGTCCACATTCCGCCATCATTGTCTTCGCGCTATATTTTCACTTTCATCTTCGCTATTAGGGGACATAAATGAAAACTGTGACAGCACCAGGGATTGAGTTTCTGTACGAAATGAAGAGCCTGCCGTAGTGGTGCGGTACCCCATTCTGAACACAGCACCACCGAACACAAAAACAAAAACCATAGGAACACAAAATAAACAGAAAATATCGAGAAAAAAATTACCGAAGCTTGCACTAAGTCATGCAAGCCTCGAAACAGAGAAAATGAACGATTCTAATCTGGCTACTTCCACTTTATTTCCAGGTCTTAGATAGGTGCGACAAGGATTGCTTTTAGGTTGTTTCTAGGTGGCTTGTCATTGCTAAACATTAGCTAGTTGATGCTAGGTTGTTTTGATGTTGGTTATCAGTGGAGAGAGGTTTGACTTAAACGACAGACAGTCCCCGATTCCACGTGTATGTCGTGTCAGCCGCTTTCTCGTTAAAGTAGGCTTGGTCGGATCACCGCCGCTGATCTCGTTCTCGCCCTGCGGTACGTCGAGCCTCGCGATAGGCACCGTCGTATTTTCAGGCATGCGGTTCTTTCTCAGACCACCCATGAGTACCAACTTCCTCGGTACCACCAGGCGTAGCCCATTTTATAACGATCCCGAGGACATGTGCACGCAAACTAGGTCTAGTCATGATGTATTTAAGGACATAAACGATTGCTGGTCAACTGTATTATTCAAACTTGGCGTTATTATGCTTAGTCATTTCACTAGTTTCGACGCACCTCATCTGCAGCTGCTGCTGTAGCGCATGCATGACTTGGCATGACGTCACACCAGCTGGGTGGTATAACGAGGCGATGCGAGTCCAGGTGCATAAATTTTTGCAATAATAACTAGAGATAGCTCTGGCACAGCGATAAATGAGCCACCATGGGAATATTGAGAAGTTCACGGATTCGCCTAATTTTCATGCTTCTGGCTTTTAATGCACTTGTGACTAAGTTTAGTGTTGTGTTTTGGCGTTTGTTTCGGATAAAAGAATGATTCGTTGTGAACTTCGGAAGCCAATATGAATTTTTAAGTCTAAAAAAAGTTGAAGCGGGGAAGTGGAACTGCTGAACGTTTGCTGAACTTCATATTCGTCTTGCTATGAATTCGTCGGCTTCAGACCACACGGAACCAAATGGAGCGAAAAAGACGCGGTTGAGACAAATCTATGTACTACCAACCATTCTCATGCTTTCTGAAGTTTC